GGGTATGCAAATGAAAATGAAGATGGATCCCTGTCTCTGTGGAAATGATATACTTCAATGTCAGCTGCCTTGAAATCACCTTATCACAAAACAAGCTGTGAAATATGAAAGAGAACAGATTATATGATTTTTTTTCCTGTTTTGTGTATAAGAAAAGTATCTGGTAGGTTTAGAGACAAATATGAGGAAAAAAAGCCAGCTATATGTCGCCCTGTTCTCTCCAAGTACAGATATTTGGGAGGTTAAATCGGGTTCAGAATGACTTCCCAATTAAAACTTAGCTTGTCCCAGTGCGAACTTTACACTTAACAGACTTGGCTTCAGTGATTGAAAATCAGTCTAAACCTGTAACTGAACAGAAGTTCCATGCACACAAACCAGTCTAAAAATTGCAGAACCCAGTTTAAGATAAATCTGGATCTATGTGGTATCAGACACATTCAATATAAGTCATATCAGTGCGTGGAACTTCTGCCCAATTCTCTTGTGCAGCCCCAGGCTAGGAAAGCCCAACCACTGGCCCCAGCCCCAGCCCCAGGGTTGCTCTTTTCACTCTCTCCTTCCCCTGCACTGGTCTATTTTTTTTCCTTCCCCCTACCCCCATCCCAGCTCCTTACTCCCCGCTCAGCCAGCCCTCTCAACCGCCATCCCACAAGCCACTCATATCAACATTCATCGCTGCCAGAACCAAGCAGTAAGTCCCAGTGGGGGAGGGATGGAGGTGTATGTTCTCTGGGGGGACCCCACCCCAACCTCAGGTTACACCTGCCCCTCCCCTCACCTGTGTATTGTGCTTGCTCCCCCACTCCACCTCTGGGTCGGACTTGCCTCCCCTACCCTAGCAGCACATCACACTTCTCCCCACATCTCCCCAGTGGATTCCTGATCCCCTCCAGCCTTCTAGACCCCCAACCCATCCCCCCCTATCCTGACTTACCTGATACTGGACAGCCAATTTGAGTTGACCTTCCACTAATGCCCCAAATGTCTGTACTTAGCCTCTAACTTTTAGAAGCCTTCTAGTGATTTTTGTCAGTGTTTCTAGCAGTCTGACCCTACTGCTGTACTCCAAGGGAAGCTGCTTGTTTCTGGGGCTCTCCACTTTCCACTGAGATTTGGGGTGTTGTAACAGGGCACTCCTGATCCTGTTACTAGAAAGGCCTGAGAAGATGAGGGACTCAAGGCCAAGAAGGGCAGTCAAAAGTAATAGCCATGGGGAACTGGGCCTGGGACTAAAAAGGGAAGTTGGCTAATGAAGCAATTAGCTGCACCTGGTCACTGGGTGCAGAAGACCTGAGCACATGACTGGAAGTAGACTGGGCTTGGGGATACAAGCCCAGTCTCTGACCGTGCAGGGGGTATTTCTTGTCTGCAGCAGGAAAAGCATCTCTTGGGAGTGAGGGGTTGCTGGCAATGGACAGACTGGTACCCAAGCCATCCAGGGGAACTAGGGAAGGAGGCTCCTACAGAGGTAGAGCCTAAAGGCAACATTTACCCCTAGGAGGAAAACTATTTATCTTATGAAGTAGCTGGCTCATGTTTTTGTTCTGTTTGTACCAGATGACTGGGTTGTGGATAGAGGGACAGAGGAGGCAATGAACAGGGATGCCTGGGTGGCACTCCCCTGTTGTTCCAGGAGCTAGCCCCTGAGTTAAAGGGATGGAGGCTGATACTAAGATTGAACCCCTAGGAAGGG